TTGCACTAAGTTTGTGCTTTATGTCAAAAAAATTCTGGATAGCTACCTCTACTGGAAGCTCATCAACAGAGAAGTTGAACTCCTCCCCCCACATAGGATTTCTTGAACCAGGAACCATTGAACTGCAACACTAAGAAGAGTATAACTTGTGTATAATACAAGAGCGATAAGCATCTGAACATATTGTATCACAACTTTCTGGAACTACCCAAGCCTCGTCGCAGATATTGTTGACAACAATCCACTAAAAAAAAGGGTTATCTTACAGTTGACCTTGACTTGAACTACCAATACATCTATTAGAGAAAAAGATCGTCTCAAAATTAAGGCTAACCAACAAAATAAATATAAAAAGTTGTTCATCTGTTCTCTCCTTTATATCATGTCAAAAGGAGTTCATCTAATTTGGACACTATTATGAGCGTCATCATAGTTGTTTATACTATTGTTTATTCCCATAAGAATAAATTGATAAGAACTCAAAGATCACAAGTACCTAAAACACAATCATATCTGGTACTAGACTAGCATGCACTACCAATAAAAGGAAACCAACTAAGATGAATAAATTGACCAAAATAAAAGAGGCATCCTTGTCTAAGCAAAACTGAATATCAATCATAATGGAACAAATCAACACCAGTAATGTTTTATCATCTATTATACGTAAGTGTATAAAGATATATATCCTCTGAACAACATTATGACAAATGTGGTATTTGATGATGCAAGTTGGTTATATAATCAACAATAATAGAAAACCATATGCATAACTACACCTAGACAAGACAAACTATTTATACCACCAACCCAAGACAATAGGATAATAAAAATAGACATAATCACCTAAATCTCTTTTGTGAGCCACAACTGATGATTGCATATGGATCTGAAGTCCCATTCAAATTAGCAGCAGTAAGATTTTTAGCAGCTAACAGTTCAACCTGAAATATAAGAAAGAGTAGCAGTCAACTACAAGTTGCAGATATAGGCCATCACATGAATAATTAGTGCAATTAACACTTCAAGTAACAGTAATGTTGTACAACACCAAATCTAGATATACGAGTTATAAGTGCATGAACATGGAATACAAATATACCTTGATTAGATAGGCAGAAGTAGTTTGAGAATCTCCTTTTAACTGGCTCATCTACAAAATAAGTGCACAACTGCACGTCAAAGAAGTGGAAAATTACATGATGAAAACGAAACATAAGTTTATAAATTATCAAGGGGAATTTTCTTTCTAAGAACATTGGAAATTCCTACTAGTTACGGACCATTGAGGATTCTTGAGAAGCTTAACATATAGTTTGTGTTGCCGAACAGATAATAATCAAGTACAGTTAGCCTTCACGAATGGTACAGTATTATAACTATATAAGAAGTTGCATGCAATTTAATAACTCTGCTCAAGCTGAATTTGTTTTGACTTGGAAAGAATATTCTCAGTAAGAATTCAGAATGTACATAATCATACATTTGCTCCTTAGCTCCTTTCCATGAACTATATATAACAAAACCATGCTCTATGGATGCTTTTCAAGATTAAGCTAAGTACAAACAAAAACTACGAGAAATATTATAGTCTCCAAAGCTTAATTACTTAGTTCCGTTATAACTTCTTATATTGGTCATTCCAAATCAGAATTAATGAAAATTAGTCCATGCGAAATCAAATTTCAGCTTATCATTTAATCGACAATCACACATGACACTTTAGATCAACTCTACAAGTGATTCATTTTTTTTAACTTAAAATTTTATTAAATATCATCACACCTCTATCGAGAACGCTTTAGCAGTGATCTACTACTTCATATTCTAAACTTCCTAATTGGAATATAATTTCTTCACAAATTACAATTCCTAATCCTCACTTTAACTAAACTCAATTAAAACAGGATAGTAATACAGGGAGATACATAATTTTGAAATAGTAAAAATAAACTATTATGTATGTATGTGTGCGTGTGTGTGTATATACATAGTAGACTGTACTTACACTAGCCCTACATGCTGGATCATCCTCCACTTTCTCACTTCTGACAGTCGGAGAACCGTCAACCCGAGGGCGATAATCAACTATATCACCTCCGCCGAGGTTGAAGAACCAGCAAGAGAGGATGACGAAGGACGCGGCGGCGACGGCAACTTGCACCTCCCACCACGACGGCAAGAAAAACTCCAACGCTGCCTCCACTATCATCTATTCCTCCAGATTACACCGAAAAAAATAAAATGCAGAAGGAGTAAATAAGAAGAAAAACTCCTTGCAGGTTTAATATAACCATAATTTAGAGCAGAGACATTCTTCTTCTTCTTCTTCTTTTCTGTGAATAAACAATAAACAGTGTCAGTGTGTGTGTGTGAGAGAGAGAAAGACGCAAAAAGGGGGAAAAAGGGAGGGAGCGTGGGAGGCGTGATTATAAATACAGAATTTAAAATGACGATTTTAGCCCTGTTGCTTTTTTGGTCATTGTAGAAGTGTTTAGCGGAGGGTTTAATGAAAATATAACGAGAGTTTAGGGGTATTATGGAGATTTGAAGACTTCTAACGACTATAAAATATTACGGGAATTGGTATGATGATTCAAATAGCATATTGGTTACTTGTTCCCTTTTTCCATGTGAGTTTTTGCTGAATTTCAACTTTTGTTTTTGTTAGCATTTAAATTATGGATAAAATAAATAGATAAAAAAGTTGAAGGTGAATCCATGTCTATTATACCGACACTAATTTTAATTCTGTCTCGGTCTTTATTTACTTGTCTATATTTTTTTTTTACATATTTCTATTTACTTGTCTATTTTGACAAATCAAAAAATGATAATTTTTTTTTATTATACTCTTATTTAAATTTCTTGAAAATTTTTAAGTTTTAATTTATTGTTTTTGAAATCATATTTAATAAGGGTAGAATTATAACTTTCTATATTCTTAATATGTGTGTATTTTCTAAAGTGGACAACTGGATAGGAAATGGCAATATTAGTTATGCACTTGTGAATAAAAAAGTGATTATAAAAATAATGGGTGATATTTATTTATTTTTGTAATTTGTGGAAAAGCAAAAGCATTGGACGAGGTGTGGACAATGATGGCTAAGAGAGAATAATCATTATGATGGCACGGCGCACAGCTTAAAAGGGCTACTATTAACTTGTTTTATCAACATGTGGATCCAGATTCACCATTTAATATTAATGAGTTTAATTTAAGGGTTAATAATATTTTTAAATTATTTGAAATATATATATATATATATATATATATATTTTTAAATTATATTTCAGCTTAAATCTATTATTTTTGTTGAATTATTGGGTTAAAAGTTTCTTTATTAACAGAAGTTATTAAATGTCATGTGAATGTCACATGGCACGCCAATAGGATTTCACAGCCACTTAGTCTATTTGGCAGTGGAACCTTCTTAGCGTGTAATATGACATCCACATGACATTTAACAACTTCCGCTAATAAAAATGATACTTTTGATCCAATAGTTATACGAGAAGAATAATTTTGAGTTAAAATATAGTTTAAGGATAAATATGAAGTATTTTGGATAGTAACCATTTTTTTCGTTTAGTCTATGTGGCAGTAAATCCCTATTGGCGTGCAATATGACATGATATCCCAATAGCATTTAACAATGTTTGTTAATAAGAAGGGTTTTTTTGACCCCAGGGGCGGAGCTATAGTTGCTCCAAGGTGTCCAATTGAACACCCTTCGTCGGACAATTTCGTTATATATACAACCCAAATCTTCCTTTATATTGTTATATTAAGTATTTTGAACACTCTCAAAACTACTATTGAGCCGTAGCTCAATGGTAAAGTGTGCTCAATACGTTCATAATACCCAAGTTCATTAACATTTTGTATATTTTAGTTAATGTGGTCTTATTTAAAACAGTTACTTAATTAAAAAATGAAATAATTTGTATAGAGCACTAGCTTAGCGGCAATACTGTACAAAATTGTGTTTGACACTAAGGATCAATAGTATGACAGAAAAGATAGTTTTAAACCGAAATATAGTTTAATAATAAATATGAGCTATTTCGGATAATTTAGGATATTTTTAAGTCTTTTCTAATTTTTTTAGATTATTTTTTCTTACATCAAAAGTTTATGAGATACAATTTTTTTTACAATTATTTATAATGAAGAATGAGATTTATGTACATTTTATTTTTTCACATTCTATTTTATAAATTATATATGGTATGCTATGGCTGAAATATAAGTTTTAACGTTTAGTAATTATGAAAAATAGTAAATTCTGTCTAACCAAACACAATATATCGAAAAGTAGGCAAAAACCAAGTTTTCTTTTCTCATCTTCAAAACCCATTATGTACTCTAAGTGAATTCTTTATGATTTAAGAGCCCGTTAGTACGAGGGATATATCATAATTCATTTTCAAAATTAATTACAGTTAGCTTATTCCGAGATTAGTTATTCGGAATTGTATTATTACTTCTATTCTAATTCAAAGGGGTGGAATTATGGTTAAGAACTTATGAGAAATTGAAAAGTCACGAATCAACTTGGTTTACGATAGGACTTTGAGGGACGTCTTCTTTTTCCCTTATCTAGCAAGTCACACCTAATCGCCGTTGATGCCATCTTGATAACTGGGACCGAATGTCTTATCATAGTTTGTTATGGCTCAATCCTTGTATAGCACATATTGGTGCACAGACCCCTTTCTTTGGTGTAATAACAAACCAACAGAAAAATGTAGAAGCAGACTGAACAAATAACCTTAGTTGCGCGGACTCTTCATTTTTGATGTCGCACCCCTCGGATTATTCAAAAATATACTACTTTTGGCAAATCCGACACGCACCCATTGGCATTTTTTGAAGAGTCCGAGCAACATAGACGCATACCAGAGCACCAAATAACATTGTTAGATTAGACTAACACTATCTGCTTCTGGTAATGGCAAGAAATAAGCACGTGGATGAATATAACAGCAGGAAACACTAGAGAAACAGAGAGTAGAGCCAGTTGAGAACCTTCATGTTACAAGTAGTATCAAGGAAACTTCAATTTGCAGGGAAAAAACAGGCCAAAGGACACTAATATGAGTAGACATACTAAATTTTCGCAGACACAAACACCAAAAGATACGCTAATCAGTCTTGTTCTGTTATCGCTAAGAATATCACCAGTGTAACTTGTAGCAACCAAACAATTATTTTCACACACAGTCGCACCTACAAAAATGATCTGGTGGACCTACAAACAGGCAAGGTAAATGCAATGTCAAAGGTAGTCAGGGAATCAAGCCTGAGATTGCAGGGTTGACAAGAAAACACAAAAAGCACCCAGAACCTCTATGCATATTCTCATTAAGGAAGAAAGTAAAGCAACATGTATGATTGGAAGAAGAATTGTATAAGTACCCAATTAAGTTACCTTCAAAATACATCTGTCTTGGGGAATATTGACCCTCTGGACTCTCTAAAAGGTTCTATTATAGCAAGAAATCTGGCACAAAACAGAACAGGTAAGAGCAACTGCATGCGAAATCTGAGTCGCTCACTCATGCATTCATAACCACACAGACCACTGACCACACCTGGATAAGAACCTCCATAGGAGACACCAATAATCAAATCAATAGAAACATTGGCGGGTATTAATTAAAAAAAGAAGATGATGAAGCAACACGTCCAAATCGACGCCCCTATGCAGTGCTCAAATTTCCAGAACAACTGCAGACCTCAAAAATAACTCCAAACACGATTGAGCAGTGCTAAATTCCATACTTCACCCAAACAGATCTTTAATTATCAAGTATAGCAGAAACAATTACATGACTAAACCTCTCACCGAAAATAACACTTATAACTTTCAAGTTCCAACACATGAAAACCCAAGCAATTCCACTAAAACCAACTGATCAATTGCAAATGATTAACCAACATCCCACAATGTAGAGGAAAAATACATCACAGACCCCAAGAAGGAAGACACATTAACTACACACCCGAAGGAAAACAAAAAACATAAAGTTCAGAATCACCACCAGGGGAAACCAAAAACAATAGGGATTGTATTATGCTATTTGTGTTGAGAATCTGATTTGTTACACTGGTGCATTCATCCATCGGACCCCAACAAAGGCGATGTTCTACCTAGATTCAGCAGCGACGGCAACCCAAAGAGCTAGATTTTTCGGGCCGAGTTGTACTTCAGACAAAAATGCCTGGCTTCCACTTCCTTCATTCTACCTTGATCACGGAGCTTATTTTACAACAAGCTAATTTTGGATTAAAAGGGTAAATTCGCTCAGCTGTTTCAACAACAAACCAACAACAATGTAGTGGGGCGCCTAGCTAATTCATCACAAGTTCATTTTTGACTGTGTTAGTTCTGTCTCTATAGTTTTACAATCAGCTGTGGTGTCTCCTAGTCATTTCCAGCATCAACTGCCCTTGATTCTTCCTATCAAACTGGCAACTAAACGGCAGACCATGTGCTTGATTGTCAGAGACGTATAAAAATGTGTATTCCTTGACATTGATTACTGGAAGTAATACTGAGACTGAAACTCTTGAAAGCAGGGACTCACCTCATACTAGGAATGCCAAGTCAGTGGAGAGAGTGAATTTGGTATCAACACCTTTTTTTCAATGCTGAAAATAAGGCGTTCGATGAAATGTCACACGCAACAATGAGCTCTGAAATTCCTGATCTTAACACTATTGTCCACGAGGGAGAAAATCTTTGCAACTACAGTGCGATGATAACTTCTATAAAGATGTCAGCTTGAATGCCAAGGTGCCTACAGCGAAGCGATGTTAGGTAATGCGAAAGAATCAAATACTGATGAGGAGGACAATCCACGAGATAATGTAGCTTTGTTTGATTAATGTCCTAAATGGGATACATTGGGTTTTTCTAGTTCCTTTTTCTAGCCAAGGTACTGTAATGTTGAATGTGAGTATGCAAATTGCTGCAATCGAATATCCATTAGATGGTGTCTTATGGGATCAGACTATTCCGTGTTAACATAATTCTCTTGAAGAAATGTATGGGGGTAAACAACTTCAGTGTTGCCTTGCCTTGACTTTAGCTTACACAAATGCAATTGAGTCGATACTGGGCAGGAGTGCAATCTTCCTAGTTTCTTGTCGTCTAACTAGAGAGGGTGTGGTAATGAGGAGAAAATGGAGGAAGTACTCCAGGTAAATTGATGTAAGTTCCTCCAAGCAGTGAACATATACTTGAGCTGTTAGGCTCTGGTTTGCTATGTTTGGTCTAGTCCTTAAAGCAAGGTGACTTCGGCATATATTCTCATTGATCCTGGCCCTTATCTTGATTATGTCCCAATCTATGCAATAAACCCTACTTTTGGAGATGGGAAATCTATGGAGGAGGGTGCTGTAACAGTACTATTTGAATGTCCAGGTGTGAAGTTCCTACTGGGAAATCATATAGGTTTGTTAAGGTTTAGTTCAGCTTGTTTGTCTGTCAATCTGCATTTGGCATATCCCATGACTATGTGACCATTTCCTAGTTCCAAGAGTCCAGGCCTAGTGCAAATATAGCAGGTTAAGCTACGTATAATAGAATCTTCCCTAGACTAACACATAGAGGACACCCTTTTTTTCGAGTTTCCATCCTAAATTCATCCTCCTAATTAGTCATGTATAAAATGCATAATCATGACTTGAAAGGGAGATTTAAAAATAGGTACCAAAAGGTTCATCTTTATTGCCAATCACTGTGTTTTTCCCTATAGCCTAAACATAATTGCAGCATTATGCTATGCGATATAATGCAATGGTTAATGACCCTAACGGTTACACTTCTCCACAGATAACGTTGTGTGGTGGAACCCATGAGGGACTTGTGAGGTCCAGATACCCAGTACTCGAACCAGGACTTTCGTTAACATAATCTGCCCAGTTCAATATACCCACTTTCAACTCAGGTCATTTAGCCACATTTCACCACTTAAAGCATATTGCTTATCTTGACAAATCAACCCCTCATATATGATAAAATGCCTAAACTTAGTAAAACTCGACAATGATGTAATTTCAAGTAACGCATATCAGCTAAAATCCAAATCTCAAGTTCCACACCAATCAAATCTAATACAATGTGCGCACACAACTAACCAACCATGCCAAAGCAAAACCCTGGCAAAACCAATTCGGCATTGCTCTCAAAATCCAGTAAGTTCAGTTACCAGTATTTTAGATCTGCTCAGTTTGCACATGAGAGTCTCTTAAATAAGAACAAAAAAAGTAAACATATACCTTGTTGAGAATGAAGGACACCGTCCCGAGAGCTCGCAGTAAAAACACACCAACAACTTTAAGTGCGCAGGAGAAGCAATATCCCTTGAACACACTTCCACCTCTTTTTTCAAGGCTTAGAACTGGTAGATTTGAGGCCTACAAGCCATGCAGGAAAAGCAGGACCTGTACCCACTTTTGTTTATGTCGACTGGGATGAAAATAAAATAATACTACACAAATGATCTTAGGGCAAACATGGAGGACTTTGGCTACTTAAATAAGAGAGGAACTCACAAATCCAGAGGAAGAATCAAGAGAATAATGACTACCTCCAAACAATTGATGCTTGCCCTCCTCCTTTTCCGGGCTTGGGACCGGCTGTGACTTGACAGGCGGAGTTACAAGGGTTCCACACAAAAACAATGCACCAACTATGCCAAAACAATGACTACTGAGCAACAAAACAAAAACAAAAAAAAATACAGCTCCAGCAATAATCCAAGGACAAACATAAAAGACAGTAGGAGTACCTAATAACTCTCAGATCAAAGGAAATAATTCCCTCATAACAAAATCAGGGACATACAGACTCGGACAACTAGTAATGAAAGCAATAAAGAAACATGCAAAACTGATTTTCTCCATGGAAGGAACATTCCAAGAACTTGTACCCAGTGCAAGTACTAGCATCTATATCATCAAAGTCCAATTCTAACAACATAACAACCAAGATTACCGTCCACACACCACACCGCACAAGATCAAAACCTGAAAAATAATAGACAAACACAGAACAAAGAAAAGCAACATCAATATTGATCAACTAGGAAAGATGGCATCACACAACACCTGAAACAAAATGAAGAAAGCAGCTCCAGACACCAACTCTATTTATAAAGCAACAACTTGGAAAACTGATGACAAACACACAAAAGAACGTGAATCTAAAAAAGATGCCAAAGCACATAAGACTGCTAATCTGTAAACAGAAGACCTAAGCAAGCTGTGTGCAAACAAAAATCTAACACCTTTTTCACGTAGACAAAAGCAAGGAATAAAGGAGGATAAGAACCCGTATCCTATAAGGAACTGTGTGTCATCATATGCATTCAAACGGAGCATCTCAGACCTAGCCAGAATACAAAGAAGATGCGGATTGAACACTATAAACCTTAAAACTTAACAGTACGTAAAAGCCACATCCCTAAAAGAGCAGAGAATTCTTGCATTTTGTGTTGCTAAATATGGAAAGTAATAACTAGATACGTCAAGCGAAAGAGCAGAGAGAAATTAGCTTTACTTAACATTGCCAGGGACATCTGTTCAAATTCGTGATTGCTAAATATCGAAAGAAAAGGATACCTTAAGTGCAAGAGGAGAGAGAATCGGCTTTACTTATTGAGGTAAAAAGAGTCCAAAGATTCTAACATCTGCAATGCGGGAGAACACCACCAAATGAAAAGAACAAAGGTGACCAAAGCATCACATATTAGAGATCAGACAACCTCTTTTTTCTAGAAGCCAGAAAGACTTACAATGGTAGCAGTAGCACAAAAAAACAACAACCTCGGAACTGGAGATCAACATCTCTAACATCATTACAGAAGTTGGATAGCTTCTCATTTGTTATGGCTCAACCCTTCTATAGCAGATACTAATATACAGACCCCTTTTATTGGTGTTATAACAAACAAAAGAAAATATAGAAGTAGACTGCACAAATAATATAACACATACCAGAGCATCAAATAACATTATTAGATTAGGCTTACACCGTCCCTCTAAATAAAGCCGCCTCTGGTAGTGGTAAGAACATAAGCGTGTGGATGAATATAACAGCACAAGACACTAGAGAAACAGAGAGCAGTGACAATTTAGAACCTGCATGTTACACAAGCAGTTTCAAGGAAGCTTCAACTTGCAGGAAAAAAAACAGATATCTTCATCTAGAGGACACCAATATGAGTAGATGTACTAATTTTTTGCAGACACAAACACCAAAAGATAGCTATTCAATTTTGTTCCATTATCACTAAGAATATCACAGTACTTGTAGCAAACAAACATACATCTTCGCAAGGTAAATGCAGTTTCAAAGGTAAGACAGGGAATAAAGCCCGACACGGCAGGATCAGTCAACCATATAAACTCAAAAGGCACCCAGAACGCATATTCTCATTATCCCCTCCTCCCACCCCACACAAACATATAGAGAACTATAATTCTCTGCACTGGATAATAGACAATGTTCAAAAATGTCTACGCTACATCCCATAATGCGCAAAAGAATCAATTTGAAGCTTCATACAGAAGGCCAAAAGGAGGGTTAAAATCTAAAACACAATAGCATTTCACAACAACTGAGCAAGATAACATATTAAACCTCCCTCCTTAGCCACTTAATCACAATAAATACAGAGCATCAGCAAAAGAAAAATATAAAAACTGCCTTTAGTTCTTATGAACATGAAGGCATAGGGAAATTGAACAATCCTACCCAAAATGCTAACTCACTAAAAATATATCATATTAAAAAGGCATTATCATAATACCAAAACCAATAGGAACGAAAAACACACAGAAGGATATAAATAACCAAACCACAACAGCTACCAAAATAATCTTTGCTTAGAACTAAATTCGTTGATGCAACAGAATTCACAACTGGTCAACGGCGGAATCCACAACCAACTCACCCACAGACCCACTCTCCCTCCGAAATAACACCTAGATTAAACAGATTACAAACTAAATGACTACTTGCCAGTTCACAGTATGAAGAACAACTACGAATGTTCAAGAATGAAATAACAAGAAAAGTCAGATTACAAACGAAAAGAGGACTCCCTAAGCAACTGTTAGTACGCACCAAGGAAAATGTAAAACATCAATAACAGGACAACAGGACACCAATGCCCTGCTCAAATTTCCAGAACACATCACTTCCCAAATCATAAAAAGAGAACGTATGAAAAAAATAGACCTACGCACCCCAAAAAGAACTCCAAACACAATAAAAAAGTTTTAAATTTCATACCATAAATCAATCAGATCTATAATTTTCAAGCTGGTCAGAAAGAATCACAGGACTAAAATAAGGATAAAATAACCAAACCACAATTAGCTAAAAAACCACTCTTGCTTAGAACTATTTTCCTTGATGCAACTGAATTCACAACTGGTCAGAGGCTTAATCAACAACCAACCCACCCACCGACCCACTCTCCCTCTGAGATTAACACTGTAGTATCCTCGTTATAGACTAGATAAAATAGATTATAACAAACTAAATGACTACCTGCCAGTTCACAGTAACAAGAACAGCTAGGAACGTTCAAGAGCGAAATGACAAGTAAAGCTAGATTACAAACCACAAGAGGAGGATTCCCTATTTATGCTGAGTAACTGTTAGTTTGCAACAAGGAAAATGCAGTACATCATTAACTGGACACTAGTGAACTGCTAAAATTTCCAAAACACATCACTTTCCCCAATCATAACAAGAGAACGTATGGAACAAAATGTACCAACACACCACAAAAAAATTCCAAACGCAATCAAGAAGTTCTAAATTTCATAATTTCACCTATCAGATCTATAATTATCAAGCTGACAAGAAACAATCACATGACTAAACGAGTTTGTTGCCAAAAACATCCTTCAATTACACCCTAAACTTACCAGGAAAAGGTAGTACATTATTAACAGCACAAGTTTCCAGAACACATCACTTTCTCCAAATGATAAAAAGAGAACGTATGAACAAAATGTACCTACACACACCAAAAAGAACTCCGAATGCAATCAAGAAGTTCTAAATTCATACCTTACACCAATCAGATATATAATTATCAAGCTGCCCATAAACAATCACATGACTAAACTGAGTTTGTTGTCAAAAACATCCTTCAATCATACCCTAAACTAAACAGGAAAAGGTAGTACATCATTAACAGGAAACCAGTGCACTGCTCAAATTTCCAGATCACATCACTTGCCCAAATCATAAAAAAGAACGTATTAACAAAATGTACCTACACACGCCAACAATAACTCCAGACGCAAACAAGAATTTTTAAAAAATTAATACCTTACACCAATCAGATATATAATTATCATGCTGGCCTGAAACAATCACATGACTAAACCGAGTTTGTTGCCAAAAACATCCTTCAATATACCCTAAACTTAAAGCACATCCTTATGTTATTGTAATGAACAGAAAACATCCCTCAATTATTCCAAAAATGGCAAGATTCATCCGCATGTTAGTTTCTATCAATAAATAACTGCTTAACCTACAATCCCCTATGATGTTCGCTCAATCCCTCTCTTTTAGCTGATTGATAGGTAATTCTTATTAAAGTGGACGGGCTAGGGAGGAATTGTGTATCATCAACTTCATCGTAGCAGCAAGAGTGCTTCCATAATAGATGAAAACAAAAAATATTTTAGTAAATTATTTCTCAGCTCTATATGATTATTAATCGAATATGTACATAAATGTTATTTGAAAGATGTACAGTTTCTCCTTCATTTCCAAGAAAAATAAGGGAATTTGAAGTATGAAACTCTAGTCTATTTTTCTGAGTAGATTCAATAAGAGTATCAATTTATTTTTAAAATAAAAGTTATATACATATAAATTACTTAAACGTTTTTATTCATGTGGATATTTTTCTTTGCTTTTAGAGATAAAAATTATATGAATTTTGATTTAACACTTCAATATGTAATTTTTTAATTACAACTTATAGTATTTATGGTATATTTTTGAATATTTGAACATAAATTTTATTGAGATGATCTAATGATAAGTTGGCATGTTAGCAACATATGAATTACCTTTTTCTTGCGTTTTAAGGTCTTTGAGTATAATTTAATAACCCAAACAAACTTAAATTGGTGAATTTCAGGATTTGGAGCTGAAGAAGTCAATCAATCAAGTACTTGATCCAAAATGATGAACAAAAAAGATGGAAGTTGGAGCAAAACAATGAGAAAAGTAAAGACTGAGAAGTCACAAAAATTGTGTCCATGTTTAGTTCTCGTGGATCCGTTTCTAAGGGTAGAAAAGCTTGAATTTGGCTAAATCTAAAGGAGTAGCAAGCCTGTCTCACTCCACGAAATTTTCAGCTCCATGAAATGAAAATAGGGAGATGAAAATTGGAATGTCTCCGCGATTTTGCTCCACGAAATATGCAGTGGAAGGGCATCTTAGTCCAGATTTTATAGAGTTATATAAATAAGAAATAAATCATTTTCTGGAGCAGTTTTTGGATTTACAAGTCTGGGTGGAGTATCTCTAGCTAGGGAAGGATTAAGAGATTTTTACCACAGTTTGAATCTTCTTCTTTATTTCATCTTTAACTATATTTATTATTACATTTCATCTTGTATTTTCTTTTTCTAGTATGAGTAGCAAAACCTATTAGCTGGGGTTATTATACACTCTTGTGGTTTTTATGTGATTGAATACTAATTTACTGCTTATGGTTATTTGGATTGTGATTATCTACCTGTTAACATTCTTATTTGTTAATTTGGTGGTTGCAAACACTACATTTAGCCCTATATATTCATTTCTTACTCGGAAGTGTAAAAATTAGCAAGTAGCAAGTTATCAAGTATATTAAGGAATTAATTGTGCTGGATTAACGAAATCGAACTCGGAATAGGGAGATTCCTACTAGGGTCTATCAATTGGGTCTTAATATTTTCCTTTTAGTTTGGAAGAACTTATGGGATTAGCTTTCTCGAATTGAAAATTCTTGAAAGTAATTATCAATTGGATCATTTTCATTAATCTTATGCATTTGAGCCAGATACTTGTTCGTGAACGAGGCATGCCATATTGAATCTACAACCCCAGTCCCTCTGTTAATCGAAAAATAAAATATTTTTATTGCATTTAGAAAACAGTCTAGTTTTATATTTAATTACTAATCTCTCTTTTATCTGAGGATAAGCTTAGGAAATTTTTAAATTCTTACACTCTTGACATCTCGACACGCGCGTACTCCTTGTGGAACCGACCCCAACCTTTTTTGGGTTTATTATCGATCTAATATAATTGAGTTTCAAAGATCAGTTAAATTGACTCTTGATAAACGAAAAAAGTGATACATAAAGAACTCTGCTACCCTATGCACCGTAAATCCAACTAAATTAACTAAAAATTACCAAATATTAGCTTATAGAAGGATGATAAGAACAAAACATGACATCCATAGTTTAAAGTTGTTAGTTTATTGACCAACACTAACAAAAGGATGAATCTTAGCATTTTAAAGATAATTAAAGGATGTTTCTTTTGTTCTCTATGATAATAAAAGGATGTTGCTTAAATTCAGGGTATGATAATAGAAGGAACTAATGAATCAACTACAAGGCCAGGCCATGAGAGAGAAAGAGAGAAGAAGAAGAGGAAGTTTTGAAAACATACCTGTTGATTGAATAAACTCAATGTACCTGCTGATTGAATAAACTCAATGTACAAAGGAGAAGGGAACAATCTTCCGCCCGCAAGTGCCTCCACTATTCATCACAATCTCAAGAAATTGTCAAATTGGTTATTGTTACGACCAAAGATCATCATGACCAATTATTAATGTTTGCAAACACAATCTTGAACCGAATAGATCATCATGACCAATTATCAATTTTAAAGACGCATACGAACAAACAGAAAGATGAAACATAAGAATACCTGCAATTCTTGAAGTGGAGAGCCACAAGTAACAGTTAGAAAGAAGAAAGCGATTATTGCATATTCAATCCTATGTCACACACCCTTGTGATCAATTTAAAAAATTTCCCACCCCACAGCAATTTAAAACATGATTATCCTACACAACTCGAAGATCAAATGTTACTAAGGAAACCCTAAAATCTTGATTGAATAAATATATTTCTATTATATCAGTGGGTACCCAGAAACAGAAGCAATTCGAACAAACAAGAAAAGAAGATGAAACAGAAGCATACCTGCAATTCTCCAGTAGTAGTAGCCGACGAGGAAACACATCATCGATTTCTCAAAGAAGAAAAGAAGAAGAAGAAGAAGAAGAAAAAAAGTCGGCGAAACATACCCTTGGGCTGAAGAAGAAAGAAGAGAAGTTGATCAATGGAAAATCCATTACTCCTATATATACTACTAATTATAGAATTATATTAGGAAAATACTCATCACTTAATTTAGGAAATATTACTTTCCTAATTATAATTTAGGAAGTATTCCTTATTTAAGAACTATTACTATTCTAATTCTAATTTAGGAAATATTCCTTATTTAAAGGTTATACTATATTAAATTTATTTTTATATCGATAATAAAGGGAACAAATTGGTGGTTGAATTCTTATTTATTTTTATTTTTATGCTCTTAACATGATTTCTTCGTATCTAGAGATTAAATTCAAAAGCTTCGGTTAAGGTTGTACCATAATCTATGTTGGCAGTGGATTTCTTACTTAAATCCTATTGGAACAACACTTCAAGGTCGAGAGCAATTGACTATGATTATCTCCTTCCTCTCTCGATCTAGCTCGTCTTTCTCCTATCTCTCTTGAACTCTCTCACCGCTATTCTCTTATATAGTTCACATATATGCTAGATATATAGACTAATTAACGAGGGAGGAGAGGAAACACTGGTTGATTTTTCAAATCCACAAAATTGTTACAGATGACAAAACACGTCTTAAGAACGTCGTGTAGAATTGCCAAATATTTCCATAATACTTGTGACATCGAAATTAACTAACAAATTATTTATAAATCCTTTCACTTTTTTAACATCCTTAGCGGTAATCAAAGCTTCATCTAATTTACGCTTGGATAATTGTTTATGCAAAATCAAGGTATTAATAGAAGTGTACTTAGATAATTGTTTATACAAAATCAAGATCTTAGTAGAAATTTGAATGTTAATATTTACCACCCCTTTATTTCAATTTGTTTGCCTCTTTTTTTATCATTTGACACAAACTTTAAAATAATTTTTTTTAAAAAAATAAATTTTATAACCTCAAATATGTTATGTCCAAAGTTTTCAACAAAAAATAAACAGACAAAAGTACGAAAACCCTAAAATTTATCAATCGTTTTCTTTTACCATTCAAAGGAGATACATATTTAAGTATTGGTTTACTGATTGGATATAAAAATGCAAGTTCATAAGCTAGATTTATCAAATACAAGTGTTAGAACATCTCCACATAAAAATTAATACAGAGATTTTCATAATTTCTGAAATCATTTCGAAAATCTTGCGTGGTATGTAGATTCATAAATTAGTTAAACGGGAGCATGAACAAAGTTATATGGACAATGTGTCTAATGTTCCAACTGATACACCATAAACTTAGATGATTTTCAAGCACTACCAGACATATTAAGCTTTGTTTTCTTGAAAACTACAGGCTCAAATTCTTTGAACAGACTCCTACATTTTGTACAAATGATAAAGCTCCAGTGCAGTTGCAAAAGTTCCATAACCTTGATTTGCACAGAAGTACCTATACGACTGCACTGCTTTCGGGTTTGTTATTTTTCGCCATTAGTTTTCTGAAACTCATCATCTTATTCAATGCACCAACATAGGCTCGGACACTGGAGATGACAATATCCATATCTGCTCCGGTTCCACTGGAAGAAGATAGAAGATATAAAAAGCCTTTTCTAATGAGAGAAATGAAAGGTGATATTTCACAGACTTGCCCCAGAAAAAAGTGACGTTGAACACATGATTGACATCCAGCCAAGCATATCTACTACGGATTTTGACTCTTCTACTTGATACACACACTAACACTGGTGTTTCTTTTGGACAAGTCTAATGGAAAAATGGGAGATTGAAGAAAGAACTTGGAGGCACGAGAGTAACAGTTGGGAGCAGTCATGTGAGGGGTTGCAGTGATGAGGAAACACAAAGGGTGAGGGCAGTCAATGGAGAAAATAAGCAAGAGGCCTGGAAGTTGATCTTTTGTTGGGTGAAGGCTGCATTATAGAAGAATGGTGAAGAGAAGGGGAGAGTAAACATGAATCTTGTGACTACTGTGGTTATGCTTTATTGAAAACATATAAATTTGGCTCATTGATGTCATGTCGCCAATTCTAAAATTTACTGTGTCAACACCTACATGCCCCCCTCCCTCTCTCTCCATGTTCCCTAGGTTCTATCAGCGAAAGAAGAATAAATGCAAACAACATGGCTGGTACATTTCATACCTAAATGTACGGTGAATAGTCTCTCCAGTTACGGCATGGGTTGATGTATGGCCATTTTCTCCACGAATTAAGACTCTGGTTGAAGCTATAGCATCTATACCTTGTGTGACTGCATTCATGGAATACTCAAGGAGTGTTACAGGTACCTGCACAAAATGCATGAACACTAGAATTACCAGACCATAATACACATTAAACCAAAGAGATTATTAAATAGAGACAAGTTTGACTGCTGATTTAGAGGCAAACACCATCTTCTCGAACAAAAAAGTTGGGTTCTCTCAAGATATATAGAAAACTGCTTGTAAGTCAAATTCAAAATGTAAAAATTCCTACTCAAAATGCATATCAAATATAGTTTTAATTAT